TCAGGTATGGAACCAAAAAATCAATCTGAAGTCTACAGGACTAGGTTTAGGACAAGAGTCCATGCTAAAGGGGAAAGCCTGCGCAAGAGCTGGCACAGGATTTGGCACACAAGGCCTACCAAACTGCACCACCCGATGTCCTCAAGCTGTTGCTGAGGGATCAGTTTGTCCAAGTATTTCCAGTGGTTGTCCCTTCAGGCTCATTGCCAGGTACACTGCTTTCTGCTCATCTGTCCATCCATTCATTTCTGCCAGGAGCTCAAATTGTGCTCTGTATGCTTCCCATGGTGCCTTCCCATCGAATTCCTGTGGCTTTCTTCGTACTAGATCACCCCTATTGCTGACACTCATGTCTGGAATGTGACTTCTAACAGGACTGAAGATGTCTGCATTATGGTTTAGCTGTGGGTCTGGAAGGGGCTTCTTGGTGTCTGGGGCTGATTAGGTCCATGGTTAATATATCCTCCCTGTGTAAAAGACAGTAAATCGTTCTTTAATGTATTTAATTCACTTTGAAATTTACTAATCTTTTCCATCTGTGTATGCTGGCTTTCTCTCAACTGTTGGAGACTTTCTTCCTGTTTCTTTTCTTGTTCCAGTTGCCACTGGTGCTGGTTTTCTTACCACTGCTGTAGTCTCTCTTCTTGTTTATTTTCTCGTTCTTGTTGTTTCTTTTCTTTTTCCTCCAACAACTGCTGTACTCTCTCTCTTGTTTATTTTCTTTTCTTGTTCAAGCTGCCACCTCTGCAGGTTTTCTTGCCACTGCTCTTGTTTCTCTTCTTGTTTCTTTTCTTTCTCCTCCAACCACTGCTGTAGTCTCATTTCTTGTTTATTTTCTCGTTATTCTTGTTTCTTTTGCTGTTCTTGTATTGCTGCCAACAAATCTGCTAAGTCGAAGTTTGATTTGCCACTTTACGTTTCCATTCTTTTTTTTCTTTTCTTTCTTTTTCTCTTTGTTGTCCCACTCTCTGACATCAATTTGTTAAGTATCTGCTTCTTTGTTAATTTCCGATAGAATTTCTTTCCGAGGAACTTCAGCGATACAAGTCCTTTCTTGATTAAACCAGTTAATTATTTCTCGATACAAACTTTTAGTACACAGTAATTCCACAGTCAGTAGTTTCTGGTCACTTTAAACTTAGCACCTTTTATTATACACGCTATAAGTCACAGCGATTCACAATCTCGATAACT